TATCCTGGCTACCATACCAAGTATTGCAATAAACACTGATGTATGTATATCTTTTTGAAATAACGTTTTTGTGTTTGGGGGTCAGATGCCAAGAAGCGGAATCGTTGGATCATATAGGAGTTCTTACAGTTTTCCATGGAGACTGAACCAGATGACGTATCCATCAACAGTTAATGAGATGTTTCCAGTATTTTTGATATATGTCATCTTCACAGTGTAATAATATCTCACCATTGTTTTGTTTTGTTTTGTTTTGGGGACACACCCTGTGATGCTCAGGGCTTACTCCTGGCTTTGCATTCAGGAACTAAGTGGCAAATGCTCAGGGGACTGTATTGGATGGCGGGAATCAAACCCAGGTCAGCTGTGTGCAAGGCTAATGTCCTACCAGCTGTACTGTCATGACCATCATCATTTTGATTTGCATTGTTCTCATAATAAGTCATGATGAACTCTTTTTATATACTGGTCATACTGGTCTTTGAAGAAGTGTTTGTTTATCTCCTCTCCCTAAAAGGATTTCTGGGTTTTTTTTTTTTGGGGGGGGGCGGGTTTGAGAGTGCTTTATATAATTTGAATGTTAGTCATTTATTTGATGTATGATGTGAAAATTTTCTCCCATTCAGCAGGATGTCATTTTTTTTTCAGTCCAAGTTTTTCCAGAAAATTTTTTTTTATTTGAAGTGATTTCATTTATTTATTACTTTGCCAAATAATTATAGATATCTCTGGGGTCTATATCCTGGGGAGTTCTCCCTATATTTTACTCAATGTGTTTTTTTAATGGATTCTGATCTAATCTGGATGTTTTCAATCCCCTTTCAATTAATTTTTGTGAGTGTTGTGAGGTAAGATTCAAGTTTTATTTTTGTGCATTATTCTTAATGAAAATGCCTTATAAGTTATAAAATAGAGTGAAATATAAAATTCTTTTGTACAGTGAATATTTTCAGAGGGTGACCTGGTAAAAAGTGACAGTTATAAAATTATAAAGGAATTTTTTTGATTACACAGAGGTTTTTAGCAATAATATGTAACAAAAAATAACAAGTGGTGGGCTGGAGCGATAGCACAGCTGGTAGGGTGTTTGCTTTGCATGCGGCCAACCCAGGTTCGAGTCCCAGCATCCCATATGGTCCTCTGAGCCAGGGGTAATTCGTAATTACTGAGCATCGCCTGGTGTGACCAAAAAAGCCAAAAAAACAAAAAGCTTAAAAAAAAAAATAACAAGTGGTGAGATAAACTGTTGTAAATCTAGTGGCAGATAACCTTGACACCAATAGTTATAGGGATCAAAGGGCTCGAAGTTAGAAAAGGATACTTCCAGAAGCTCTGATAACCATACCTACATCCTACAATCGCTGCCATGTAAACTCATGGCTCACTTACATATTCTGGAGTGCTCAGCCACATTTGTGGCCACACAACACCTCCAAATTCTACAATCTTGACATTCCAGTAGGAACTTGCCAAATTACATGGAAAAGTGAACAAAACATTAACAAAGAAGACTCAGCTAGCAACAAACAGCTTAGTAAACCCTCACACAAGGACAATAACTCCATGGTGAAATAAACAATTTTCAAAATTTTTCTTTTACTGGGGCTGGAGCGATAGCACAGCGGGTAGGAAGTTTGCCTTGCACGCAGCCAAGATGGCCGATACAGGTTCGATTCCCAGCATCCCATATGGTCCCCCGAGCACCGCTAGGAGTGATTCCTGAGTGCATGAGCCAGGAGTAAACCCTGAGCATCGCCGGGTGTGACCCAAAAAAAGAAAAAAAATTTTTTTCTTTTACTTAAATATTTTTGATAACTCTATTAGCCAGTTAGTTGTATCAAGCAATATAAAATAAATTTTATAAAAATTAATTTGTGCCTACTATGGGGGCAGGCTTGGGGGGTGATCAGGAAAATGGGGACAATAGTGGAGGGGAGGTCATCACTGGTGGTGGGATTGGGATTGGAATACTGAATGCCTGTAACAAGTGCAACATGAACAACTTTGTAAACCACAATGTTTAAATAAAAGGGGAAAACTAAAAAAAAAAAAAGGTTGAATAAAAAAAGTGATAGCATCATTTTGCATTTTTTTTAGTCACCTCAAAAAAAAATCTGTGTCATCATGCCCCACTGATTGATTAGGATCAGTTTATAGTAAAGTCACTTGACCCTAAATTACTATCTGGTGAGTAAAAACCACATTTATGGGTTTTTCATAACTCCCAAGAGGGAAATTTAGGAGAGATAAAGATTTCAGGGCAGAAATATGGATTCTACCCACTAAGGTGATTTCTCAGCACTCTTCAGAGTCCCTTTTCTAAATTATATAGCTATGAATAACTCTTTTAATTTTGGAGTGCTGGTTGCCAATTTCATTCTATTCTCCTAAAGTAATGTGGATTTTTTCTAGAGTTATAGTAGTTCATATTTACTTGCTCTCAATAGTTGAGCATTTAGGTTGGTAAATCAGACCCACAGGAAAAAATTGTACAATTAATGTTCATAATGGCAATAAATGAAAAATGCAGACATCTTAAGTTTCCATTAATTGCTGGAAAGATAAACTGTATATAAAGGAATATTAATCAGTTTTTTAAAAGGCAGGGAATTCTGACATTTACAACAACCTAGATGAACCTTGAAGGCATTATACTAGGAGAAATAAGCCACACACATACACACACACACACACACACACACACACCATCCCAGATATGGTTTGATTTCATTCATATGGGTTACCTGGAACTATCAGATCTGGAGAGAGAAAGGAGAAACACAGATGAAGATAGTGGGCAATAAGGAATTATGTACTAGGTAGAAATTCACTTTTGCATGATGAGAAGAATTCTAGAGGTGGTTTTTCTGCTGCCAGAAACCAGCTGAGGTCTTGAAAGTTTCGCATCAATTTAAGAGCACCTGATCCACTTTGATTTCTACCTCACTCATGAAAGCAGCAAGTATCTCTCCTGTTGCCTCCAGGTTAAAGGTCTTATAAGCATTTAAATCAGGTGAATTTTACCAAGAATCTTGGGCAGAAACAAAAGCATACATGGTCCAGGAAGATGCTACTAAAACCCTCCACTCACCCTACCTGTAGGTGCTGTGAGCATCTGCTTGGAAAAGATGTGTCTGCCTCCCACCTGCCTCTGCACCTCACTCAGGACTCGACCCAACTTTGAAAACCGGTTATAAGCAGTATTTGCTGTGGTACCATCCGCCCTAAGTGCTCAAGATAGTCTTTTTTTTAGGGGGCCACAACCAGAGGTGCTCAGGTCTTAGTCTGACTCTGACTCAAGGATCACTCCTGGTAGACCCAGGGGACCATATGGAGTCCTAGGGATCAAATCCAGATCAGTTACAAGCAAGGCAAGTGCCTTACCCACTGTAAGGCACTTTTTATTCCAGTTTTAAAGATAGTCCTAAGCCCAGCAATACAAAATAACTCTGAACTGTTCACTAAAATTCTCTTAAATATGACTCATACACAGTAGGGTAAGGGGGTGAGAAAGGTCAGAAGGCATGGTCTGAATGCATGGGTCCTGGGTCCAATCCCCAGCACCACCTGGCCTCCCAAGCACCTACAGGAGTAACCAGAAGGTCCCCCAGAACCACCAGATGTGACCAGGAAGGTCCCCAGCAGCATTTCTGGGTTCAAGCAGTACTGTATCCCTGAGCCTTCTCATTGAACCACCCAGCTATACTGACCAAGTATTGCTGGGAGTGTACCCTGAGAATGCCTAAGCCCTGTTTGGGCCCATCCCCCCATAAAGAACTCAGACCTCCTCCACGTGTGCTCAAGTGTGGCTCCCTTCTAGAATGAGAGACTAGGGAGCCCAGAGGTTGCCTCCCCCGTGACACATATTCATACATGGCCCAACCCAGATGGAAGGACACCTCCAATCTCATGAGATACGCTGTACATTATGTGGTTGCGATGAATAGCTTTGGTTGCTTTTCCGGAATTTATATCTCACAATTATCCAGGACCCCTAATTCCTTAGCTGTGCAAAGTGGGTGGGATGAAGCCCACCTCCAGCTACAGGCAGAGCCAATCAACATATCTTCCTGGTCACTATCCAGGAGTGACCATCTGATCTCTTGTCTCAAGGAGACTGAATTCTGGAACTTATGATTGAACAATTAGAAAAGAACAATTTGCAATAGAGCTAACATCCTCTATGGCTTAGGTTTTTAGTCACTGGCAACTGAGAGGATTCTTATCAAGATCTTTAAGTCAATGTAGTGAATGAAGTTTTCATTCACTGCTAAATTTTCATGGTCTCTGCTCTAACTAACATTCTTCCAACAGTATTTTGAACTAATTTTCAAAACAGATGGCTAAATTCAGCCATTACAGAATTGGCTCAATACAACCAGAGTCAATTATACTAAATAGCACCATATAACCATTTTAGAATTCATTCGACCCGGGTGGTGGGGGGAGCCAATATTTACACATTTTAACATAAAATTCTATTTAATTGTATTTAAATTAAATTTAATTTACATTAATATACTTTTCAAGTTTTTGTTTGTTTCCTGAGTCACACCTGGTACTCAGGGCTTACTCCTAGCTCTGTGCTCAGGAATCACTTGGGTAGCGGGTGAGGCAAGCACCCCGCCCACTGCTTCACCGCTCCAGCCCCACTTCTCCTTTTTCTTTAACACATCTTTCCAGAGGAAATTCAATCTTCTTAATTCTAAGAAATGCAAATGTGGGAGCAATGCTGTATCAACCCAAAGATTTGCTCTCAAAAGATTCTTAAAAGGGAAAAAACAGGGATTTTTGTTATAATTAAAAGATAAAGGGAGAATTGTTTTTGAAGATACAAGGCATTGGAAACATGTAGTTTCTCAAGATGCCATCGTTAATCATTTTCTATCTGATTGTTAGAAATTATTCATTTCCTCAAAGACAGCAAATAAATTGGTTGGGGATACGATTTTGTACAGCACACTTCCTTTGACCCAGCAAGTGCTTTACTCTTCAGAGCCATGAAAATGATCCTGCGCCTGAGTTTGCTCGCCCTGGGGGCAGCCTACATTTGTGCCCTCGATAAAGACAACTCCGATTCCCATTCCATGGACGTGCTAGTGGCAGAGACCCTCACTCTTCTCTCCACACACCAAACGCTGCTGATCGGCAACGGGGTAATTTTCTGTTTGATTTCTGCATGTTGTGTTTTGTTCTGTTTTAATGCACATTTGTGGTAGTTAACACATACAAATCTGTAATTGGTAATGAAATGGTGAGGGGGCAGCACACCTGGCCCCATGCTTGGGGCTTATTTCTAACTCTGCACTCAGGGGTCACTCTTGGCGGGGCTTCGGGGGGATGATACGGAGATGCTGGGTTTTGAATCAGCGTCAGCCACATGCAAGGCCAGTGCGCTGCCCATTGTACTCTCTCTATGGTTCCCCATTAGCAAAATTAAATGTTATGAGTGAGAAAGTGCTTTGAAACAGTGAATGTGTTTCCTTTTCAGAGCCTATGGATTCCTACTCCTGATCGTATAAATGTAAGTCAAATGCTGCTTCCATTAAATAACTGCAGGGCTAAAAGCATAAGGCATTCGTTATCATTGAAACGGGTTAATGTTCTGTGTTTTGTTGTGGAGTGTGTGTACTTGGAAACATTGGCAATGACTTTATAACAAATAGATTTGGTTAAATAAGTCGTCCAGCTTTTTTTGTTTTCCGTCCAACTTGTTTGGTGATATTATCTGTTCACCATCTCTAGGAACCAAAGGTCAGGCTTTTAAATCTTTAATTTCTTTTTTGTTTTGTTTTGGGGCCACCCTGAGTGGTTGTTGGCACTCTGGGGCTACTCCCCACTCTGTGTTTAGAGAGAATGCAGTGTCAAGAATTGAACTCAGGGACTCAGGCTCAAGCAAGGCAAGTGCTCCACCACTGGGCCACATCTCCAGTTCCTAAGGTCAGGCCTTCTTTCCTGAAGGACGATGTGCTTTCGAGTCTCTGACTCTATCTATGGTCCTCTCTACCTTCTTTCTGGAAGTATCTGCAACTTAGGGTTATATTTTTAGAATCACAATCAGTAGATACGAAGAAGTACAATGAATTCTCTATATTTTAGTCATTTCCACATATTTAAATGATTGTGACATTTGGAATAAATTGTAGTCATGTTAAACTGTCAACTATTTATTATCCTAAATAGAATCAAAAGACCAGAAATGAGGCCCACTGCTGGTGTAGTTCCTAAATATATTTTTGAGTCAGGGTGTTCATTTATATCATTTACAAAACTCTTTAATAATGAAATAAAACTCATCTACTTTTTGAAATTTTATCTGTTTGAAGTGGTTTGCCACCTGGAAAGGGAATAACTGAAAAGCTCTTTGGAGAAGGAATTCATGAAACACCACAAAATAAAGTTGAACTTTTGGACCAAAATTTTATAGCTTACTTTGTTTACTAATATATTTTAAATCTTCCTCACTTAGCACCTACTGTGCATTGAAGACGTCTTTCAGGAAATAGACGCTTTGAAGAACAAAACTGTACAAGGGGGTACTGTAGAAAAACTGTTTCAAAACTTGTCTTCGATTAAAAAACGCATAGACAAGAAAAAAGTGAGTGAAAAACATTTTGTGAAAATATATTTTCTGACTATTTTTACAGGAGTTTTCTACAATACCTATTGTCTGTTCTTTTCACAGGAAAACTGTGGCAAGATAAAGAGAGTAAAAAAATTCCTGGATTACCTGCAGGAGTTTCTCGGCGTAATAAATTCTGAGTGGACAATGGATAATTAAGGCTCAACTGGCTGTTCCAGCTAAAGATTTGTGAAGAAAGAAGAACATTTTATTGTAAAGAGAATAAGGCCAATCAAGAAGGAAGACCTAAGGTTCACATAATGAAATTCATAGACAAAGCAAATTGTTTCATGCATACTGCTACTTTGCCAACTCCTGCAGGCAGAAAGCATAGAAACAAAATACTTGATTCATATTTCAGATACCAAAATCATTCATGTTTTTCTTCCTGTTTGCTCTTGGCAAAACAGATGCACATATATATATATATATATATACATATATCTTATTTAATATTACATTCTATAAAATGTTAACTTAATGTTATTTATGAAGTAATTCAGAATTTGGTATATTAAATATTTATTTCATTCTTGGCTACATTCAAGTAAAACCAAAAATTGATAATGCTGCTTGAACTTGTAATTTGCCTCTGTCTGACTCTTGATGTTTGCACTTTCAAAGCAAGTGTGGGGAATAGTCTACCTGTGTAATGGCTGAGAAGTCCCAGCTCTCTGGTGGCAGAAGTAGTGGGGTGACCACAGTGACTGAGGACCTGATGGGGAATGTGGCGACAGGTCCCTGGCTGGAGGGAAAGTAAGTTCCAAGGCTTCCTGGGAGGAGCACCATGCAGGATCCCCAAACCAGGTTTCTTCCCAATTGATGGGAAGAATTTGGCAGATCAACCCAAAGCCAGTTCAGGGAGCTTGAAAGCTTCTTTGTAAAGCCTAGGGCACTGTGACTTCGGGGACGGGGGGATTCTTCTGCTCTCACCTGCCACTGTGACATCCCAAGAGGGAAGAGGAGCTTTGGCAGGCAGTGTCAGTTGGAAGGCTGGGAGAATGACAGCAGACAGCACACACTTTCATCTGCCCACTTAAGCCTAACAGAGCAGGACCCTTGCACACTGCTGACGCCAGCTCAAACCCCAAGCACTGCCATGAGTACACCTTGAGCATCGAGGGTGTGATCCAGGCTCCCAATCCCTCGAAAAGAACAAAAGGCTAAGCCGCATAACTGGGGGTTCCTCTACTTAAAAACATTTCAAAGATCCAGAAAATATGTTCAGGTATATTCATATATATATATATATATGAATTATAAGAAGTAATTGGGTCACTTCTGGAAGTGTTCAGTGACCACTCCTAGAGGTGCTCGAAGGACAATATGTGGTAGGGGGATTGAACCAGGGCTGAATAGTTGCAGCACAAGTGCATTAACCCTTGTTCTATCTCTCCAGTCCCTGTAATATATTTTATTTTATTTTATTTTATTTTGGGGGGGTAAAGGTAAAGGCCCTCCCGTTGATCATCGATTTGCTCGAGCGGGCCCAGTAACGTCTCCATTGGAGACTTTGTTGTTACTGTGTCTGGCATATCCAATACTCTCGGTAGCTTGCCAGGCTCTCCGAGAGGGGCGGAGGAATCGAACTCGGGTCGGCCATGTTGGCCGCTTGTAAGGCGAACGCCCTACCCGCTGTGCTATCCAGTAATGCTCAGAGGTTACTGCTGGCTCTGCACTCAGGAATCACTCCTGGGGGCTCAAGGGACTAAATGGATACCAGGGATCAAATTCAGGGCGGCATTGTGCAAGGCAAATGCCTTACCTGCTGTATTGTTCCAGCGCCTGCAACATATTTTAAAACTTTGGCAGACTTGGAGGAGAAATTCAATGGCAATATTCAGTTATGCCAATCAATCTTCATTCAGGTGTTCACGTATGCTACAAGCGGGAACACAGCTGGAATCCGATGTCATAGATCCTGACCCACAGCTGTATTATCTGCATGGATCACATGTGTCTGACTTGACGGCTTACGTGAAGTCATTGCCCCTACTCTTTCTGAGCAAGAGAGAGGGGCAAGGCAGTAAGAAACAGATTTCAGGCAGGATAATACCAGCACATTCTGTGTGAGAAGACATAATTTTCCCCCAAACCCATGGCAGAACTCAGATCCCCAACTTATGACCTGAAAAAGCCCCAAGAATAGATGAGCTGGTGAAGGAGGAATATGGGTCATCCCACAACCATGCTCACTGCTCTTAAAATTGACTTGACACAGGAAACTCAATTTTCAAAAAGACCATGTCAAATTATTTCAATTCAATGAATATTTATTGAGTTCCAGGATTGTACTAGAGAAACAGAACCACTAGTGACTAAAACAGACAAAATTCCGTTGCCGCTCAAAAAAGTTTCTTTCCATCATTTCTTTACTGAGGTCCAATATAATGTGGACTTAAGTTGAGAAGATTCCATCTAAAGCATCACTTGTGAACTTCACCAATCTGCCGGTTCCCAGAGAAGTTAAATGTAAGCAGAGTTCTACAATGGGAGGATAGAAACGGAACTTCCCAGGATTTTTAAAAAGCAAAAACTATAATTCCCCATGTAACTCTACTTTTCTTGGAGAAGCAAAACCAACCTGATGGTCCCTGGCCAGAGAACAGGGTTCTTTCCAGTCATGTCATTTCCCCCTCACTGCCACCACTCAACTATGGGAGACTGGAATCCAGGGCAGCAGGAGAGACTCCGGGTTGTAAGGAATACTTCAGACAGGCTCATACTTCTGCTCCAAAGTGCACCCCAGCCACAGAGCAACTATTTTCCCTGTATTAGTGATGCTATTTGTGCTGTCCAGTGAAAGAAGCCAGTGTGAATGGTTACAATGGTTTTCATGAGGACACAGAAAACCTCCCAACATAAAGCATCTCAAACCAAAGGTGCTTACATCAACCATCCTCATATTTGAAAGTTGCAGCTGCTGCTTCCTGCCATTTGTCCTTTCTCCCTTTGAGCTTTCCTATTTTGGATACTGCAGTCATGAATACCTCCCCCTGCCCTTTTTGATGACTTCCTGCCTTTTAAACTCTGTGTCCTAACTATATATCCCACACTCCATCCTCACTATCAGTTGAAGCCCTTGCCTCCCTCTTACCAGACTCATCTCCCTTCTTCAGGCTCTCCCCATGGCTGGATCCAAGCTCTTAATCCAATAAAATCCTGTCCATCTGTCACTGTCACAGAAGTCTCCACCACCCCACTGCCTCCTTTTGCAAGTGTCTGCAGAGGATGCCTCTGCCCCTCCCAGCTCTGCCCTGCAGACACACAGCAGCCTCCCTCACAATATGGAGCAGAAGAAAAGGTTACCCTGAGCCCCATTTCTGTGACTATAAAAGGAAAAGTTTCTGGTCTATTGCATCTTGGTCAGAACTCCTCAGCCAGGGGCTGGAGCAATAGTACAGCAGGTAGGGCGTTTGCCTTGCATGTGGCCGACCCGGGTTCAATTCCCAGCATCCCATATGGTCACCCGAGCACCTCCAGGAGTAATTCCTGAGCATCTCTGGGTATGACCCAAAAAGAAAAAAAAATCTTCAGCCAACTTTCCAAAGTAATTAAACAATAAAATGCCAACATTTAAGCAAAAGATGAGCATGCTCTCAATTATTTTCTAGTTGATTTTTATATGCTTGTTTACTTGTGAAATAAGAAAGTACACTGTTAAGAGGATTTTTAAAAACTATATCTTAGGCAATATGGTCGCAGTAGTGTTAAAAGTTTACAGTATTGATGCACAAAGTTACTGCAACCCACCTAAATAAACTAACGTGCTTTGCAACAGTACTTTCTGTAGTTAACCCATTAATATGATTGCTTTGCCTGTATAATCTTAGTTGACACTCAGAACCTTTCCATTTGTTGTTTCCTGTGAACTCGGATGATGCTAATTATATTTGAAGGGAAAAAAAGGACTTCTTCCACTAAACATTTTCCATCACTTTGTTGAAAAAATACAGTGGAAGGACCAATAAGATAATAAGATAAGGCTCATGCTTTGCATGAGGGTAAGGTTCTTGCCTTGCATGTGGCTGACCTGGCCCAAGTTCAATCCTCGGCACCTCAAATGGCCCCCCAAACCCTATCACTAGGAGTGATCTCTGATCCCTGAGCACAGAGCTAGGAGTAAGCCCTGAGCACCAGGGGGTGTGGTCCCAAAACAGAACAAACAAACAAAACACATTGAATTTGGGGAACAAATAAAGTTTTTCCCCCATGTAAATATTGGGAAAAGCATTGTCCTGAAAGATACAAATTCAATGAAGAAAATTCCACCTGGAACACATTAACTGTAAGACTGTCATACTTATCTAATATGCATTCTTTCTAGAATACCCTGTAAATTTTCACACCTCTGTGAACATTGCCCAAGCTCTCATTATGGTTCTGATTTTTCCCTGCACAGGAAACACAAGATTGTCCTTCAGATGTTTACATTCATCCCTCTCACGGCTCTCAAATGCTACTTTCTTAATTCTGTCTGCCTGGTCCAGCAGTGCCTGTAGCTCTCTGTTCAGTGCCCTTGGTTACTTGAACGTTCCTCTGGGAGAACTCTTGCTTCTCTATAGCTGCATTTTCAGATCCATCCTAGCCACTTTCAATATGTGTTAGTCAGAATAGTCTAGGTGATGCTGCTTTAACAAATCGCCCCTAAGTCTCAGTGATGGGATACACAAAATTTTGTTTCTTAAAGTTTAAACACAGTCTTTTGTGGGGGTGGTTTTAGGTCGCCTCCGAGCACAGTCCCTGTGCTGGCTCAGAGTTCCAGTGTGTTCCTGAGGTGCCTCCTGCAGTGCCTGTGGTGGAGTACAAGAGGGATGGAGAATCACATGCCAGTTCATTTCTTTTTTTACAGTTATATCATAAGATTTATTTTAGCTTTTAGTTCTCATTGAAACCTTGGTTTACAAAATTACAAAATTTCAGGAGTTTAGCATCACATGTGTATAAATGTTCATCTGTCACCTCTGCTATCAGCAAAGTTCCAAAGTTCTATCACCAAAAAGACCCCTATTCTCTCCCCATCACCCCATTTCTTTTTCTTTTTCATTTTTTTATGTTTTTATGTTTTTTATTTATTTTTTTCTTTTTCTTTTTTTTACAATTTTTATATATTTTATTTTCACGAAGTAGTTCACAATAGTTCATTGCAGATAATATTC